TTAGAAATGAGGATATCCGCAGTAGAACCAGAGTGAACGATATAGCCCAACGGATTAGTAAGCTGAAGTGGCTTTGGACCGGCCATATAGCTCGAAAAACCGACAACCGTTGGGGAAAAAAGGTTCTCGAGTGGCAGCCTCGTACCGGTAGGCGAAGTGTAAGGCGACCCCCCACTAGATGGAGTGACTACCTGGTAAGACATGCAGGAATTCGATGGATGCAGGTGGCTCAGGACCGTGCTTTGTGGCATACCTTGGGGGAAGCCTATGTTCAGCAGTGGACTTGTGAAGGGCTGTAATGATGATGATAATGATGAACATACTGATTGACTATAATATGTGACCTGAAATCAATTACGTTAAATTTGGAATGCTTATCTCGGAGAATTCTCTATGAAGTGCAGCCATAGATTTATGTCAAGACTAGATAATACAAATTTAAATCAAAAACAAAATTTATTATCCTTATAAATTTACCAATTTTTATAGGAATTATTATTAAGTTTTTATTTTGTTATACAGTTGTAACGGTGCATCTGAATGCACCGTTTTAAATAATTATTATTAATTAATCTTAAATAAATATATTCTTATCCTCAAATAAAAACAAATCAATTATTACATATTAGTCATTCCAAATATTTTTTTCAAATAGTTAATCTGCGCATCTTAAAAACGTTGCTCACCGATCTTTATTCGGAAGTATTCGAAGACGCGCTAGAGTTCCCGTTCGGGCTCTTCTTTGTTCATTTCTACTACTTGAAATTCGCAACACGCGTGAGTCTAAACGATTCATTAATCATCACTATGACGTCATTTGTAGGTTAAATGAATATCAATTGATTTTATGCGATTTGATGATTGGAAAACCATACCTCACTTTTAGTAAAGCAAAATGTGTATGTTTCTGCAGCCTTATTTGTTTGTCGTGGGTTGCAAGTCTGCGTGGGTAATTGTAACTTACAATCAAGTAGGTAATTAGCTCGTTTTTTGAACCTCTATTTTTTTATAAAATAAGGGTGGCAAACGAGCACATAACTACTCAATGGTAAGTGGTTGCTGCAACTCTCGATTAAGAATCAGAATACAGATGTGTTCCCATCCCTGAGGATTAAGATGAATTGTCTCGTTTTCTCTCCGGTTCTCTCCGGTTTTCTCCGGTTACCTACACTCACTATACGAAACACGACGGCTATCTTAGTTATCAGAGGTAACAACGCATCTATCAACTTACTGGGCTGCACTAGCCACTTATCCTCAGGTGCGCTGTAAGTTTTTGTTACTTCGGTTTCATGAAAAATTTTCAGTAACGATCAGATTACATCCCTTTGAGTTTTCTATCGTATTTACTATGGGGAGTGTTTTGACGAATTGTGCGGATTAGTTCCAGCCGCCAAATTTCACGAACGCACATCACGTCAAAATTCTCGATACCATCCTCACCATCTGGATGCTTGGCGGCTACTGTGCGTTTTACTAGAAGTTGTCTTCCTTGTACAACTTCTCTGTGGAATTGTTTACCACCGGCGAATTTTCCGGTTCGATACGACTTAGGGACCTTCAAGAAAAGAGCTTACTCCTTTCTAAAATGCCGGCAACGCATCTGCAATTCCCCTGGTGTTGCGGTTTTTCATGGGCGGCGGTAGTCACTTACCATTAGATGAGCCGCATTCTCGTTCGCCCGGTCTTCTATAAAAAAAAGCTATTTGACACTGATGTTCTGTGAGCGTGTGGTCTTCTCCAGTCAAGTTAACCCATTCGTGCTACAACTACAATACAGCTGCAGCATGGCTCTATCACGTAAAAAAACGTACAACGTTATAAACAAGATATGAAAATTAGTATTAAAAACTTTATACTTTTTGGATATAATTTTATGTTCGTAAAACAGTTTCAAAATGCAGTATACCTTTTATTTCTTAATCCACGGGGAATACCTTATTTAAATTTCTCACTGCACTATTATCCAAAATGGCTTTATTTGTAAAACAAAACATATATGCAACTGTAGTATTAAAAGAAAACAGAAATCACGATCTTTTTTTCCCAAATAAAAAAATATTATTTATAAATAATTAAATATATTCATTATAATTTTGTATCTCTACTTTTTGATCTCGGATCCGCTAGGAGGATCCGATCATTTTATAAAAAGGTTTACGTGGAGATATACGTTAGCAACTAGAGGCCTTAAGGAGAATTTTACTTTAATTTGTAATGTGGTGTACGTGTAGGCCTGTCTCCGCATTCATAAAAAGTTCCGAATAAAGTTCCCATAACAGACACAAATTATGGGCAAAAAAGGGGAAAAATGTTGGGCTATGAGGTACTCGTCGAGGGATGCTATATGGGTTGGAATATAGGGCTATTGAGGAGAGACTTGAGACATCTGCCTTAATCTTGTCACAATGGATAAAAGGGGGCAGGTGGCGACCAACTGTTTACTAAATGGGTAACTCATACTGAAGTCTTTACTAACTGCAGGTTGCAACATCGGTGTAAACAGCTAAGGCGGTGAGCTTGCGGGCTGAAGACCTTATACAGTCAGCGTCCGCCCGGTGTCATGATATTTCACACTTACACCTTCCACGGAGAAGAATGAAAGTGTAACATTTATATAAGAGTTCACTTTACAAAAGAGGCCACTCATAAACAACTGCAACACCAGAGAAATTGCAGGTGTATTGCCGGCCTTTTAAAAAGGAGTAAGCTCGTTTATTTAAGGTCCGTGTGAGAAAAAAAACTTCAATGGGTTGTTAAAAGTCTATTGTGATACTTATATCCTGTTGACAATTAAAGAAAATAATTTATAAATACGTGAAATTGGCTTATTGGCCCCAATCTGCTGACCTATAATGCCAAACACGGCGGCAACCTGCAGAGCGCAACCGCTATGGAAGCGTGAGTGGCACCATATTCCGGATCAGACAATGGTACGAGGAGCCAGGAGAGGTGTCGACGGAGACCTGATGAGAGGTCAGCAGAAGGTACAACAGGGAATTTACATGATCTTACATATCTGGGATCCGACTAAGTGAGGTAACCAGTTGTGTCAGACCATATGTCAAAACAAAATCACAAACAGATCTACCATCATGATCGGTTAATCGCGAACCAAGCCATTCAGCGTGGTGGGCGTTAAAATTACTAATCACCACGATCTCTGCAGATAGGACCTCTAGTAGTATGAGTCGTCTGTGTCGGATATACCGCTATGGGACCCCTAGAGGCGAGGCGTCAAAAAGGGATGTCCTCTCTGACGTCCACGCTAACTCCAGCAAACATCACAAAAAATGTTCTAATTTGTACCACGGGTGGAAGAGATACGAAGTATCAGACGGAGTGTACACTTCTGTCTTGGTTAGAAAGTGCAAGGCCGGCTTTGTCGTTTCCAGATGGTGCGGGATGGCGTTAAGGTTTGAATGAAGTCCCCTGATGTAGCAGAAATTCACGGATAGCGTGGCAGGGGCCGTCTTTGCTCCGTTTGTCCCAAGCAGATTTAGTCTCGAGCGGAATTTTGCCCCCCCCCCCCAGAATGCGTGGGGCAGCCTCAGCACCCACGCTCAGGAAGAGTAGGGTAGCTTAGGCGGGGATGCTCAGCGAGGGATGCTCCGTCACCGGGGGTGCTGGTACTTTCCTGGGGTAGTGTTTTATTTAACTCTGCAACCGTGTTAAGGGGGGGGAAATGGGGCTTCTGGTCACTTGAAATCACCAGACGAAATTCAGCTTACTTCCTATAGGCTTCTAGAGAATGCAATGCAATAGGATCACAGGTTTTCTTGCAAACTGGAGCATGAAGGTCGTAGTATACGGTGCATTCTCCGATTACAAGCCAATTAACGCTGGTGTTCCACAAGGCTGCGTGCTATCACCAACGCTATTTCTGCATATCACTGATAATATTTTGCAAACCGGTAACACTTACAGGTGATGCTTTATACACCGGCCGTGCCTTTTTTTCTCGGGAAAACGTCGCCGAGCACCGGGACAAAATTGTGTCTGAAGTCGAAACTTTGTTGATTAAAGTCTCGGATTGGGGGTGACAAAATGTAGTTCAGTTTAATCTCCAAAAGACAAAAGTTTGCGCGTTTACCGCTAAAAAGAACTCCTTCGTCGTATCTCCTTAGTTTCAAGGCACTCGCCTTGTTTTTTTTTATTTTGCGCCCGAAGCAAATATGGGCAACCCTCCGGAAAGCGGGGGAGGGAGGCGGTGAATGCTCATAGCATACCACGCAGCCGGCTGCGGGGTTATGTGGAGACTTTTACCCATTAAACACCGCCTTTATGGATTGGCTTACCGATCTGACGAGAGATCTCTAAGCCGTGTACGAACGCGACCCTCCTTGTCAGAATGGAGGGCGATAACCCTTGGCGTCGACATATGCAGTAACGTTCAGTTTCGTGGTCACTTAGAGGAAAACGCCAAATTGGCCTCTAAAAAGCTTGGAGTGCTCAATAGAGCGGAACAGTATTTAAGGCCGGCACACCGCTTGCAACTTTACAATGCGCAGGTGCGATAAGCATTTGGAAAACTGTTCCCATCTCTGGACTGGGGCTCCCCAGTATCAGCTCCTTCCATTTGATCGCATCCAGTCACAGAATAAATAATAGTACTAATCCAGCGCAAAGCCGTTCAAACGTTAAACAAAATTATGTATTTTAGATTTACAACAGTTGTGTACATACTATATACGAGTATATAATTTAATTATGAAACCACGTCTTTTTTATAATAATTGCGAAAAAATGTGCCATGTCTCATCGATTTCTTACGGCGTCATCACAGATCATTTTGTCTCAGTTACAATTAATTTCTTCCTCCATTTCAATTTAAAATTTAAATACATCTTTAAAGTTGTAAATATATATACTTAATATGCTTCAAATATAATAACTCATATATATATGAGTATAGAAATGTGTATGTTTTCGTGATTGTCATATATGTGTATTGTAAGTGTACTTGTTAAATAAAACAACATAAAAAATAAAAATAAGAATTGTTTGCTGCAGTTTCACCTCTGCATCCGCTGAGCACGTGCCACGCTCTGTCACCAGCGTCATGCGCGGAGTCTTTTCTGGTTTATGGGGAGGTTCACCTACATAAGCCCATCTTGTCAGAAAATGGTTCTCCTGGAACTGGTTCTCTACCGCCAACGTTCCCAAATTCGCCGTTGCCGAGAATGGCACCACAGTCACCGCAACCGCAGGTTGACGAAAGACCGATTTCTCCAACACCTGGAACTTCACAGCCGATGATGTTAGAGGAGCAACTCGACGAAGACGTACTGGTTTTGCTTGGTGATGCACATAAGACCGATACCGTAATGGGTCCAGCAATCCATCAGGATATAGCTAATCGGTGGCAAGACATACTTGCTAAAGGGTTGGCAAAAGACGTGAAAGAAAGTCTTTTGAAGACTTATCTTATACCCTCCAATTGTGAGCTCCTGATTGCATCAGCTCTAAGCTCGGGGGTTAAAGCAGCCCTGACAGAGACCTCTATAAAACGAGACTCGTCACTTTTGTTCAAATAAAAGCAGCTAGGCGTCGCCATTGCTCTAGGTGCTGTTGCCAATATAATCATTTCGGACAAAACTGGCAAACAAAAACTTTTAAAACCTTTAAGCGACACCTGTCGCATTCTTTGCGATAGTCATTTTATACTTACCCGCTCTACTTTCAGTACCACCAGCAACAGTGGCCATTTCAACTACCTAAACCAATATCGCAAGGTAGACAACAAATTGCAGCCGCAAATTTACAACACAAGGCGAGGGCAGCGGTCAACGCCGCGCCCGCGGGACGCACCGCAGCAGGCAGCCAGCACTTCACGCCGCCCGCCGTCAATCAAGCAGACGATGTCTCGCCGGACATAGACGAGGTACCGTTTTCGGGACAACTTCAGTACTTTGTCCATAAATGGGCTGAAATAACCAGATAAAACTATTCCATCTTTGGTGAAAGGTTATCAAATACCATTTAAAAGTACGCCATATCGTACTAGAGATCCTTATGTTTACCCCAAAAACATCCCACGAAGCCCATAATTTTAACAAGTCATTTAAAACCCTTCTAGATATTGGTGCAATATCTCACCGAACACATAAAGAAAGCGAATTCATATCCAGTGTATTTTTAGTGCCAAAAAATAACGAAGAAAATAGATTTATATTGAATCTTAAATGCTTAAATAAGTTCGTAGAAACGTGACATTTTAAGATGGAGGATTACTGAACAGCATCAAAATTGATGACCAAAAACTGTTATATGGCTTCCATAGATTTAAAAGACGCCTATTTACTAATACTATTTTCTATACATAAATCTCATAAAAATACCTTCGCTTTAAATATAATGACACGCTTATTTAATTCAATCGCCTACCGTTCGGTTTAAGCACATCACCTTATTTTTTTACTAAATTAATGAAGCCAGTAATAGAATTTCTTATAATTAATGGAATGATATCGGTGATAAACCTGATGATATATTTTGTAATGGATGTTCGCTTTTAGAATGCAAAAGAAATAATGTCTTACTACAAACTTTACCCAAAGCTTGGGTTTCATAATAAACAAAGAGAAAAGCTGCCTGGAACCATATACTCAATGTTAATTTTTAAGTTTTATTTTTGATTCTAAGAACATGTCGATAAAATTGACCGATTCTAAAAAAATCAGAAAATAAAAATCAAAGTGGGTATTTCTAACTTCCATAAACTACATAAATGTACACTTCGTAAATTTACTCTACTCTTAGGATTTCCGACCTGTCAGGTCAAGACTGGCAAAAGTGTTTATAGAGTTGGTTTATGTGGATGGCACCTTGTATAGAGCATGATGGAGAATATTTTGAAAAGATGTAAAATAAATATTAATAGTATCTAGAATACTTTTTGTATTCTCAGAACTGATTGAGTGTCCCACGTATTACTTTTTCTTTATATATAAGTTAAGAAGCCATAAAAATTAATAACAACTTAGAATTCGAAAAAAACTAGAATTTATTTTTAAAACATTAAATATTATTAATCTTTATATCAAATTTGGTTGATGTATCTCAAACAATTTTAAGTTAACTAATAGTGATAAATCAAAGACGAAAATTACAATAAAATAGGTAATTTATTTTAATGTCTGTCTTAATTATTAATATTATTAACCTATGCATTTTAAAACCACTTAGTGAAAGAGAGGCCGGCGCTTGGTTCCCATCTGCTGGTAGGTATGTATGGAGACACAGACTTGCTCATACCAGCATTAAAGTCAAGGGAAGAGTCACGCCCTTTGAACAGGTTGTAATTGCCCATCGCTGAGTAGTCAGTCTTCTTGAAAAGATCCGTTTGTTGCATACCAAGAGACGCTCCCAATTTGTTACTGAAATGTAAGAAATATGTTACTGTTATACGATCTACTGCACAGGCTTCTTCTCATTCCTGAGACGATTTTGGTTAGTGCGCCGCACAGCTGGAAACCAAAACTCTAATATTCTCAAAATAGTTTTTAAACACATAGATTTTCTCTCGGTGTTTTCTTTCACCGCTGTTGCACATAAAAACACTATTTTTGTGGCAAATTTAATTTCTTGAATTCGTATGATTAACGTTAAACTCGGGTTACTCGTGTGATGGTCATGGTAGTCGGTCTAATAAGAGTGTAAGAACTGCTATTTAGCGACAAAAAAAAGCTACATTTCTGTGTTTCGGTCTGAGGGGTACAGAGAGCCCGTTTAGTTACAGGCTGCGAAGAACTCTATCATAATCCTTAAAAGTGGCAACGCTGCTGCAGTCTTCTTTGTTTGAAGTTGGCTGCAGGTGTTCATGGACTGCAGTAGCCACTTACCATCAGGTGGAATGTAAATTCATTTGTCACTTAAGTTTATAAGCAAGTCTCAATGGAGAGTACCTATCTTTGTAAGACAGGATGCTAGTTTACGAGTGCGTGGACAAACACAAAAGCTTTCTATTTCCTGACTTTTATAGTCCCTTGGGGCTTTTATACGACACAACTCCCGCGCAGTACCAATGGCAGAGTCCGGGGGGTAAAACATCGCCAACTTCTTGACTCTGGCTGAGACTGATAATATCTTGACAGAAAAACCCAATAACGTATTTTGAATCTGGTACGAGATTTGAACTCGGAAGCACAATATAATCACTAGTCCCGCTACGACCGCTAGAGGAGACTAACAAGACAGTAAAAAGTAGTATGCACATAAACCGAATTTGATCCCCGCCAACACCACTGACATTTATTAAGCGCAATTTTTAATGCTGGTTTATTACGTGGTCTTCGGTGAAGACCATGAAAAAACTTAAACATCTGAAATTTTTTAAAAGAATTATAAATATGTGATGTCTACCAACACGTACCAATAGAGGTAGCGGGGCCGTATCTAACACTATTCTAATAAACCTTCTCAGTTTTTTATACTTACTCGTATGTGTAGCCAACTTTGCCACCGTATGTGTCAAAGTTGGGAATGTTGGGATTGCTGGGAAAGCTTCTCGTTGCAAAAGCTTGAGCAGTGACATCATGCTTATCGTTGTGAAGCAGATTTAATTTTGCGGCCGCAGTCAATTGATCTCCAAAGTCAGGTATATGCTGTCCAGTTAAACTTGCGCCATGACCGTTGCTGAAAAGTTTTCTTATTTAGTAAATTAAAAATCAATACTACATTTATTAAATGTACTGTAATTCCTGACTAGAAATCTGTCGTTATTTAATTTTTATATACTTATGTATAATATTAAAAGACAAAATAGATACGACATTTTAATTACAACTAATACCATTTAGTTAACCATAATAATTAACACTGTAGTTGCAGAAAATTTAAAATGTTTTATTTCCGAGATGGCATTTGAACCCAGAATCCCACGTTTAGCAGACGTGCTTATATCCACCAGACCAACGAGGCGGTTAACCTCAAAGTAGCAACTCATATCGAGTTTGTTAGGCTAAATCACCAATGATTTATGCGTTAATCTGAAATAATGCTTTATGAAATATATTATGATACTATTAGTATGACTTGATGCAAACAAACTTACACATTATCCCAAGCCAGACCGCCACCAGCCGCCTTAAAGTCCCCTTTACCAGACGCTCCACTTACAGTACCAACTGCACTTAACATGTTTTTATCATCAACAGTTAGTGGAACCTTCGCCATAAAATTTGATGTCCCATCGGGGTTCGAACTTAAAACTCCATGGGCTTGACGACGAACGCGCGAAAGATTGTACTCCTGCGGATCTTGCGACAAATCTTCTTGTAAATCGTAGGCTCTGATGTTGCGACCATCTTCAATAAATATATATGGGCTTCTGTAATCTTCTTGTATTAAATATCGACCATTAGCGCAGACCATCAACACTGAAAGGATTATTGTTATGGATTTGCACATTTTGACTTATATTACTATGTACTTATATGTTTTAGTATATTATATTATTATTTTATTTAACGCCTTTTATTCAAGGTGTTATTGACAATGTTCCTTTACTAATTGATGCGATACTGAACCAGCACTTGCTTATATACACTGAAAACTGGGAAAATTTTAATCCCCGACGATCGAGTATAAAATGTAGCAGATATATATGAAACAAAGAATTTTCTTTACTGGAAGTGACTACAACTGCTCTCAAATACTGACTTACGGCGCAGCGTTTCAGTTACTAAAATATTTCATAGTAGCCGTTTAATTGCTAAACATGTATGTACATATGTCGTGTCATGAATGATCAAGCTGATCACCATGCTGGGTAGGTAATATCCTGAACTAATTCGGTATATATATATAATTTTTAACTTAACAGTGACGATCAACAGTAATAATAATATATGGTGTTTGGCGGTTGCATAAGAAAGGCTCAAGCTAAAGAGAGCTCTAGTCCAGTATCATACTTTATCCATAACTTAGGAAATATCATGTAATATGTATCTGAAAAGTAATCATAAATCATTTTAAAAATTGCGTAGTCTAAAATATCCCAGATTCGTCAAGATTCAATGAAAAATATGCTTACGTACGAATTCATCTTTTAACCCATTAAGTGGCTAGTGGACTATGTGTGTCAGTCTAATTTTATTAAAAAAAACAAAGTTTTTATCTATAAAATAAAACACAGAATAACACGTTAAATAGCGGTACTAATGGTGCTGTGTTATGTAAGGTGAGTGACAAAAATCAGTAATGAGACGAATCTTAGTGCTTAAGGCTGATATTTCATTTATAATTTCATTCTTAGTCGAGAATGTTTGTGTCTACGAGCCAATAGATTCACCTAACACCACTGTGCGTTGCGATAGTTTAATTTTTACTGTAATATATTGCTTGTAACACTTTAACCTAATGTCTTTATAAAAAGACCGATATAATACAGAATTAATGTATTATTTATTTAGCATACAAATAAAAACGATGTTCGTATAAAATATGCATTGTAAAACAAACTTATTTTGCTACTGTTTTACAACACATAAACTATAAAATAATTCCAATTAAAATCTATCAATTTTGAAGAGATAATAGATTTTGGTTTTGTTTTAAATTTGCACCATCTAGTTGTGAAACGAATTGTTGGCTGCACTGCATAGAGGATTCCCCGAGATAAACATTCCAATTGCAACGTAATTGAACTCAGGTCACATATCATACTCGTATTGTACCAGTATGTCAAATAAAATTACTTCATCCGGGTTATCATACCTCTAACTCGTATAACATTGTTATAATATCATTATTAACCTACTTATCTCGGTATGGAATTGTCAGCATTGAAATACAAAATGTGCCTGGAACTGGAAGTGATTGTTGTATTATGTTATATTGTATTATGATATTTCTTAAGTTATGGATAAAGTATGATACTGGACTAGAGTTCTCTTTAGCTTGAGCCTTTCTTATGCAAACGCCAAACACCATATATTACTATTACTGTACTGTTGATCGTCACTGTCAAGTTAAAATATATATATATATATATATAAATATATATATTATATATATATATATATATATATATATATATATATATATATATATATATAAATATATATATACCGAATTAGTTCAGGATATTACCTACACAGCATGGTGACATATTTTAGTAACTGAACCGCCGCGCAGTAAGTCAGTATTTGAGAACAGTTATAGTCACTTCCAGTTAAGAAATTTCTTCGTTCCATGTATCTGCTACATTTTATACACAGAGCATCGGGGATTAAAATTTTCCCAGTTTTCAGTGTATATAAGCAAGTGCTGGTTCAGTATCGCATCAATTAGTAAAGGGACTTTGTCAATAACACCTTGAATAAAAGGCGTTAAATAAAATAATAATATAATATACTAAAACATATAAGTACATAGTAATATAAGTCAAAATGTGCAAATCCATAACAATAATCCTTTCAGTGTTGATGGTCTGCGCTAATGGTCGGTATTTAATACAAGAACATTACAGAAGCCCATATGTATTTGTTGAAGATGGTCGCAACATCAGAGCCTACAATTTAGAAGAATCTTTGTCGCAAGATCCGCAGGAGTACAATCTTTCGCGCGTTCGTCGTCAAGCCCATGGAGTTTTAAGTTCGAACCCCGATGGGACATCAAATTTTATGGCGAATGTTCCACTAACTCTTGATGATAAAAACATGTTAAGTGCAGTTGGTACTGTAAGTGGAGCGTCTGGTAAAGGGGACTTTAAGGCGGCTGGTGGCGGTCTGGCTTGGGATAATGTGTAAGTTTGTTTGCATCGAGTCATACTAATAGTATCATAATATATTTCATAAAGCTTTATTTCAGATTTACGCATAGATCATTGGTGATTTAGCCTAACAAACTAGATATGAGTTGCTACTTTGAGGTTAACCGCCTCGTTGGTCTGGTGGATATAAGCACTTCTGTTAAACGTGGGATTCTGGGTTCAAATGCCAGCACGGAAATAAAAATTTTTAAATTTTCTGCAACTACAGGGTTAATTATTATGGTTAACTAACTAGTATTATTTAAAATTGAAATGTCGTATGTATTGTGTCATTTAATATTATACATGTATAAAAATTGAATAACGACGGATTTCTAGTCTGGAATTACAGTAGATTTAATAAGTGTGGTATTGATTTCTAATTTACTAAATAAGAAAACTTTTCAGCAATGGTCATGGCGCAAGTTTAACTGGACAGCATATACCTGACTTTGGAGATCAATTGACTGCGGCCGCAAAATTAAATCTGCTTCACAGCGATAAGCATGATGTCACTGCTCAAGCTTTTGCAACGAGAAGCTTTCCCAGCAATCCCAACATTCCCAACTTTGACACATACGGTGGCAAAGTTGGATACACATACGAGTAAGTATAAAAAGCTGAGAGGTTTTATTTGAATAAAGAAGTAAAAAGGGTCACCGGTCTGCGTCACTCATACGCGAAACATAGCAGCAATACGCTGCTGTTTTGCGTTGGTACTATAGCCTATAGCCCTTCCCCATCGACCCGATCCCTTTTTGGCTCCGTGGCTTAGCAATGAGTTACAGCGCTAAGGGCCGCGGGTTCGAATATCGCACAAAACAAGTATTTATATGGCCAACAGTAATTGTCCCGGGTCTGGATGTTTGTTCTTGTGAAAATTTACGTTTGTAACCCTCACGACACAGGATAAAATGCTAGTGTAGAGGTAACGTTTTAAAAAAAAGTTTTTTGTTTTTAGGATCCGTCGACCCACCATCAGCCGACGAGGGCTGGTTTGTTTGTACCAGTTTTGGCCCGTGAGCCAGAACTGGTACACACAAAACTGAACTGGACCTGACTGGTAAACACACTACTGACATTCGCAGTTATCCCCTCCACGTTTTGTTTAGCGCTAGAGTTACTTATGCTCGTTTGTCAAGCTACATCATTTAAAAAGTTCATGGTTTATTGTTGTTGATTGGTTTATACGTGATAGAACCACGCTGCAGATATATAATAGTTGTAGCACCAATGGGTCCCCGCTACCTCTATAGCTACGTATTGGTGGACATCTCATATTAATATATCATTTAAAAAAATCTGATGCTTAAGTTTTTCATGATCTTCACCGAAGACTACGTAATTAAACGAGCATTAATAATTGCGATTTATAAATGTCAGTGGTGTTGGCGGGGATCAAATTCGGTTTATTCGCGTACTACTTTTAACTGTCTAGTTAGTCTCCTCTAGCGGTCGTAGCGGGACTAATGTTTGTTGTGCTTCCGAGTTCAAATCTCGTACCAGATCCAAAAATAAGTAAATGGGTTTTTCTGTCAAGATATCATCAGTCTCAGCACAGTGTCAAGAAGTTGGCGGTGTTTCACCCTCCGGACTCAGCCGTTGGTACTGCGCCGGAGTTGTGTCGGATAAAATCCTCAAGGGACTATAAAAGTCAGGAAATAGAAAGCTTTCGTGCTTGTCCACGCACTCGTAAACTAGCATCCTGTCTTACAAAGATAGCTACTCTTCATTGAGACTTGCTTATAAACTTAAGTGACGAACGAATTTACATTCCACCTGAACACCTGCAGCCAACTTCAAGCAAAGAAGACTGCAGCAGCGTTGTCACTTTTAAGGACTAAGATAGAATGCTGCTCAGCCTGTAACTAAACGGGCTATCTGTACGCCTCAGACCGAAACACAGAAATATAGATTTTTTGTCGCTAAATAGCAGTTTTTGCATTGTTATATAAGACTGACTGCCATGACCATCACACGAGTAACCCGAGTTTAACGTTAATTATACGAATTCAAGAAATTAAATTTGCCACAAAAATTGCGTTTCTATGTGCAACAGCGGTGAAAGAACACACCGAGAGAAAATCTATGTGTGTAAGAAATATTTTGAGGACACGTAGAGTTTTGGATTCCAGCAGTGCGACACGCTACAGCCATGATCATCTCAGAAATGAGAAGAAGCCTTTGCAGTTGATCGTATAACTGTAACATATTTCTTACATTTCAGTAACAAATTGGGAGCGTCTCTTGGTATGCAACACACGGATCTTTTCAAGAAGACTGACTACTCAGCGATGGGCAATTACAACCTGTTCAAAGGGCGTGACTCTTCCCTTGACTTTAATGCTGGTATGAGCAAGTCTGTGTCTCCATACATACCTAGCAGCAAATGGGAACCAAGCGCTGGCCTCTCTTTCACTAAGTGGTTTTAAAATGTATAGGGAATAATATTACTAATAATTAAGACAGACATTAAAATAAATTATTTTATTGTAATTTTCGTCTTTGTTTTATCACTATTAGTTAACTTAAATTTGTTTGAGTTACATCAGCCAAATTTGATATAAAGATTAATATTATTTAATGTTTTCAAAATAATTTTTTTTGAATTCTTCATATGATAATGATGACGTAAGCGTAGAAAAAGTAATACGTGGTACACTCAATAAGTTTTGAGATATACAAAAAGTATTCTAGATACTATTAATATTTATTTTACATCTTTTCAAAATATTCTCCATCATGCTCTATAAAAAGTGCCATTCACCTAAACCAACTTTTGTTGGTTGGAAATCGCTTCTTCGTAGGCAGACACGGCTTCTTCGGCGCTTGAAGAAAACTTCCCTTTTATTTTTTCTTTGAATCTAGGGAATAAAAAGAAATCATAGTATAGTAGGTGACTTAGAGTTTCAACACCAGAATCCTCATTAAATGCTTTTGTTCTAAGGGAGGTATGTGAAAAGGCGTTATCGTGATGCAGCATGATTCCCCGAAGCCCGGTCTTTGGTCTTCTCTCCCACACAGTTTGAAAAGTACTACACAGTTTGGGTAATGCAACTGTGGTATACCCTTCAGAGTTAACTAATCTACAATTTCCCAGCATTGACATCGACATATTATGTCCACCCTGTGAAAAAAAACTAGCCACCATTTTTTGGCCGTCCTTGCAGTTTTGTCGGTAAGTGTCCTTCTGAGTAGATCCATGCCAATGATTGCATTTTATTTTCCAGATCACATTGATAGATCCATGTTTCGTCACCAGTAACGATTTCTGAAACACGTCCAGATGCCCCGTTTTCAAATCGTAGACGCATTTCATGGCACCAATCCACACGAGTCTGTTTTTCGCTTTAGTAGAATACTCGAGGGATCCATCGACAACTAAGCTTCCTCACTCCAAGATGTTGATGTAGGATGGTATAAATGCTCCCCGAACAACGTAATGCCTACAATCTTTTCGATGTCCGTATATGTGATTCGTGGGTTTTCTCGCACCAACATTTCAGTAATTCAGTAATACATAAATTTTCTGCCGTTACTGCTGTTTGCGGGGCCCTGGTTCTTTGATCATCTTTAAGGTTAATTTTACCTCTTTTGAATTCAGCCAACCACCTAAAAATTGTTGCACGTGATGGAGCTGAGTCCCTTTATGCTGATTGTAACCGTTGCAAACTTAATTGTTCGGTTAAACCAAAATATAAATCTTAATTGATCGCGGAATCATAGGGGAAAAGCGCGGGAAGTGTTGCAGGAAAATTAATAGAACTTTGTTTTTTTTTTATATTGAGCAATTGGCTTATGGAGTTCTATTTTTAAATAAATTTGCTTTTTAGAAATATATAACAGGGGTGCGTTCCATTTTTAAATTTCGAGCATCACAACACTTATTGAGTGACCTACGTAACACCAAATAGATTGATATTTTACATAGACTACATGCTTACTGTGTACATCAGTTAAATACGAATATTGTTTTTCGCGTACTTTGTAATGTTTAACGAAGAATAGGATTAAATACAATCATAAAGAAAACGGTATTTAAACAATTTGTTTAAAGTATTTGCACCGTAAAAAACCGTTCTTTTTTGTATGAATTGAAGTTGATTTCCGCTCAAATTAGTTGAAACCTGATATTTTGACAGCTTGGCACTTGGCTTGCCTTGCTGGGTTGATAAGCTTCTATTGTGCTACTTATTCTCCGGTTGAAAGTTAAAGCAAATAATTTACAAATACATAAAATCGGCTTACTGGCCAATACATTTTTATGACTTTGGGTCTCCCTTTTTGTGAATTATTGATAATATTATAGGATACAGTATTAAGACCAGTATTTTTTTATTTTTTTATTTTATAGAATAAGGGAGACCACCGAGAGCACAGTTCACCTGATGGTAAGTGATTGCTGTGGCCCATAGGAATCTACATCTATTGTCGATTACAAAACCAAATGCAGATGCATTGTCACCCCTGAATACTTAGGTGGAATGCCTCATTTCCAGTTAAAAGTGTCCCCAGTTATTTACACTCACCATACAAAACACAGCCGAGTTAAGCTACTATTTCATATTGGTATTCTGTAACAACGTGGTCCTTCTCCAGTCGAGCCGACGCATTCATGCAACAACTATACTATTAATATAGCTGCAGCACGGCTCTACCACGTATGCCTTGCGAACGTTACTAAAGAGATTACTTTAGTCGAAACTTGTAGACGGAAGCTTTTAGTCATTAGTACTTTAAACAATGGTAGAGAAACGCGACAGCCTTAGCTGCTGCGCGTACGTGTCGGCACGAACCGGGATAGTACCACGCCCTCACAGAAGACCAGTGTGAAGTGGAAGCTTTGCTTCTTCATTTCGTCTGGTGAATGCAGGTGGCCGGAAGTAGAATTACCTCCCCCCCTCAACACGGTAGCGCTAGGAAAATAAATTCAACATATTATGCATAACGCAATTCTGCTTTAAGGAGTATGCTAGGGTTGAATCTGAATGACAGGATGAGAAATTGCATGATAAGAGATAAATGTGGTATGCAAGATGATGTTGTGACCAGGATTAAGAAAGGAATGCTTCGGTGGTTTGGTCATGTAGAAAGAATGAATGAGGAAAGAGTGACAAAACAAATTTATATGGCAGATGTGAACGGCAGAGTCGGGAAGGGACGCCCTAGAAAAAAGTTTATCGACCAAATTGGAGATATTTTGAAAATGGGCCACGTTAAAAGTACCCTTAACCGACGAGCATGTATGCGTAGATATATGGATGTAAAGGAGGCGAAAGAGGTATGTCAGGATCGTGTCAAATGGAAGTCCGTGGTCTCTGCCTACCCCCTCTGGGTGACAGGCGTGAGTGTTTATGCTATGCTTATGCTATTATGCAATTCTGCATATTAATGCAATTACGAAAAATTCATTTTTGAATTATTCTGACATGTTATAACTATGCCAAACAAAACAAGTGGCACAATTTGTTAATTAGGCACGAAGCAAAAATGATGGTACTAAATTGAAACCCACGCGAATTAAGCTTTTTTCACCTGCTACCTGCTAGTGCCGTCTGAAATTTCTTCGTTCTGAATAAAATAACGCATACTAATGCTAATTTAAATTTGTATATTGTAAAACGAATAAACCCTAAAGTAAAGTATTCCAAATGAGACAATAGAGAAATAAGAATGGTTCATCCCTCTTTCTTCATTTGATGTGAGAACAATCAACAAACTAGCTAAATAAAACATCCAGATCAAGACCAGAATCTTACTTGAGCAAAATACTCGGTTCTGCAACCACCAAACCTCTTCCCAGTCAGCAAATGACATGACAGCACCTTATCATCATTATCATTATTACTACGACAATGTATTAAAGTCACATAGAATGCCAAATAGTGTGCGTGGGGAGTAGGATATTTGTCATACAATTAGCATAGACTTTATAATAGGTAAGCTCTATATCCAGTAGTTGCATTTTTATATAGAAAAGGAGCGACAAGCGAGCACACAGGCCACCTGGTGATAAGTGGCTTCTGTGGCCATAAACATTGACTTCAATCCTAAAAGGATAAAAAGGATCTCCGATCTCTGCACTAATCATAAGAAATACATCATCATTAAGCTCCTAAAGCTCGTGTTCTGTGAGAGCGTATTTCTTCCCCTGACAATACAACCCAACCTTCACAAAGCTGTAGCGTGGCTGTACCTCGGTGTATTTTATAGGTTGATAATAAACACAATATTTTTAATATGAGCACTTTTATGATTTGTCATATTTTACATATGTTATGTGTTATCCGTTACACCGTTTAATAAAAAGTAGGTAAATTTGAATGCAATTAAATTCATAAGAATTGTTTAATTTTATAAGCATATTTACATTTGATACTCAACTGCAACTAAAAAAATTTTACACGACTAACACAAAACAAAAACACATTTATAAAGTTAAATTAGTAACTGCATATTAATAAGATAATGTTGTAAATGTATTTATTTTTAGTTACTGAGTACACATTTATAACGTCGGTTAAGTACATATATATGACACATTGATAAACTCTGACATGTGACCTGAGTTCAATTATGTTACAATTAGAATACTTATCTCGGGGAATCCTCTACGCAGTTCAGCCACCGCCGTTTAACAACTTCGCTGCCGGCTCCGCGAATTAGCGGAGTGCGGGGTGAGCGCGGGGTGCCGGCCCCGCTAATATGCGGAGTAGCGCCGCTTGGTTACTACGAATTAGTACGCGCCCGGCACTTGCTACACTTACCAAATGTATTAGAATTTAAGCAAACTACTATTTTCTTTGTGTTTAAATACCATAGATAATTTTAAATAAACCATAATACATAAAAGAAACTACTCAGCAAAATTGCGGACTTGGGTTAAAATGTCAATCTTAGTGCCAGGTCCGCAAATTCTCGGATTTTTTTTTTATTTAGCATTTTCTTACCAAAACCTTCTAAAAATAGTTAAATATTTCCAAAATAACAATATTGAAACGTCCTTCATGCATATTTTACAAAAAAAAACAACGGATTTTCCCATGACGTCACCATATTCCAGTTGGCAGCGAAGCTGTTAAAAACTAGATAGTATAAACAAAGTTTATTATTTTTTCGACATTGATAGATTTAAATAGAAATTATTATTCAGCTCAGATTTTTGTAAAACAAACACATTTGTTTTTACATATTTACGATCATAGTTTCATATGTGAGATAGATGAAAAAATACTCATCTCCATGTTTATTTATATATTAAATAAAGACATTTCGTAAAAGAGTTTAAAGCTAATTACTTTTTATTAAATAGAGATGCAGCAATAAAGGAATACGCATTCTACCTGGTGTAGTGGTAAGTGAAAACTTTGGCCCGTAGACTCAAACATCTATTCTGTGTTAAAAATGTGATGTCATCCCTGAGCACTAAGATTGAATGTATCCTCCGACTCGTCTCCGGTTCTTGTCACTCGCGTGGTATTCTGCGTGATCTTTTCCGGGTTAAAACATTGTGTTGAATTGAAAAACAAACTTTATTAAAAAGCTTTAAGTTCGTTTGACTGATAAAGTCTTACGTACACCTATTCTTTATCGAAACAACAAAACTGTAATATTTCTTAGTCTAGGATTTTTTTTAAATTTCTTTTTTATAATATGTGAGATGATTATGACATGATATTTCTTAGGTTATAGATAAAGTATGTTACCAGAAACTCTCTTTAACTTAAGACTTTCTTAAGCAACTGCCAAATACGAAGTATCCCACTTATTGTTGATCATCACCGTATTATCAGTACATGGTTATGAACTACACACCATGGTGGCTAATATGAAATATTTTACAAACTAAAATGCCAAAATCCAATATTTGAAAGCAGTAATAGTCATCTCCAGTTAAGTGAATTCTTTGTTCTATATATGTCTGCTACAATTTACACATTAAACATCGAGGAGTGAAATGTTCCGTGTTTGCAGTTTAAAAGTAAGTGCTGATTCAGTAACGCATCAATCAGTAAAGGAACTTTGTCAATAACACTTTGAATAAAAAGCGTAACATAAAATAATAATATAAGCCAAAATGTTCAAATCCATAACAATAATCCTTTCAGTACTGATTGTCTGCGATAATGGTCGGTATTTAATAAAGGAATTTGTTGAAGATGGACGCAACGTCAGAGTTTACGACTTGGAAGAAATTTTTTCGAAATATCCGCAGGAGTTTTCCGACGAAAACAATCTATCGCGAGTTCGTCGTCAAGCCCATGGAACTCTTAGGTCGAACCCTGATGGGACATCAAATTTTATGGCGAAGGTTCCGCTAACTGTTGATGATAAAAACATGTTAAGCGCAATTGGTACTGTTAGTGGAGCATCTGGTAATGGGGACTTTAAAGCAGCGGGTGGCGGTTTGGCATGAGATAATGTGTAAGTTTGCTTACATTATGTTAACCTAGGTTTATAACAATGATTATTTTGGATAACGGTGTGGCGTATTAACCACTTTGACTAACTCGATATGAGTTGCTGCTTTGTGGTTGACTTCTTCGTTGGTCTACTAGTTTAAAGCGCGACTGCTCATCATGAGATCCCGGATTCACACTTCAGGTTGGGCCAAAATAAGTTGTTGTATTTATCTGTTAATAAATTTCTCAGTAGCAGTCCGGTGTCAGGAAGTTGGCGATGTTTCACTGCCGTGTCTTCTGTGCCTGATCTCTCTCCTGTCGTGTTGGCTTGCCGTCCCATTGGACTATGAGAGTGACGGATTGGAGAGAGCATCTGTGCTTGCTCATGAGCTTTGGCACTACAATCCTGTCCTGCACAGATGGCTAGTCCCTGTTGAGTCCAGTCGCCGTAGCCAAAATGAGTTCTGGAGGACTTTATTAGGATCTGTTGGTATTGGGTTCCAAACTTTATTAATGATATATTTTTCGATGTTAAAGATCATCATCATAATCATCATCATCATTATAACCTATCACAAATCTACTGCTGAACATAGACCTCCTTCATAGATTACCTGATAGGGGAGATATTTGCCTTAGACGCCACTTTTTCCGGATATTATTAGGAAGACGCTGTTGCCCAACTCCTGGCCTGATTCTCTTTGTTGCCTCTTACGCCGCCACCCTTGGGACGATATTGAGACGTGGACATTCTTACACAACAACTAAACGGTTCTTTATAATGGTTAATTTGTATTAGTTCGTATTCAATTTTAATCATATTTATTATAACTGTTTAAAAAATTGAGTTACGATGGTTCTCAAGTCTGTAATTAAAGTACTTTTTTGTTTTCCGAATTTAATAAATTACATACATTTTCAGCAATGGACATGGCGCGAGTTTAACTGGACAGCATATAACTGGCTTTGGTAATCAATTGACTGCAGCCGGAAAATTGAATTTGCTTCACCATGATAAACATGATGTCACTGCTCAAGCTTTTGGAACGAGAAGCTTTCCCAGCAATCCCAAAATTCCCAACTTTAATACATACGGTTGCAAAGTTGGTTACACATACGAGTAAGTATAAAAGGCTGTCCCTGTGTTGAGTAAAGCCTCCAATTATTCTTTAGTGGGTTTGGTTTTATAGAATGGTAAGATATGGTCACGCTGCCTCTAAGTTTTGAGGGCTCTGTGGCGTAGTGGGCTTAGCAATTCGTTGCAGCGCTAAGGGCTACGTGTTCGAATCGTGGACGGAAAGAGTATTTGTATGGCTTATAAATAATTGTTTCGGGTCTGAACGTTTGTAATTGTGAAATTTATGTACGCGAACTGCCCCCACAATACAGATGAAAATCCTAGTGTGTATATATATTATATAATATTATATAATATTTTCTAAACAAAAAACTGACTAACTAAATGACTTCCCATGTCCTTAATTTTTATAAATTATTTGGACATTTAAGTTATTTCCTGACGTTCATTGCTGAACACGAATAGATTTAAAGTTAAGATTAAGCACGTAAGCACTAGCCTTCCTGACTCCATCGGCAGATCTAGTCTATGGTCTTGCCGCCAACCAATATTCGGGTGTGAAGGCACCCATCAAAAACACGAAGAAGCCTGTGCAGTAGATCGTATAACTGTAACTTATTCTTATATTTCAGTGACAAAGTGGGAGGTTCTCTTGGTATGCAATACACGGATCTTTTCAAGAAGACTGACTACTCAGCGATGGGCAAGTTAAACCTGTACAGAGGACGTGACTGTTCCCTAGACTTTAATGCGGGCTTCAGCAAGTCTGTGTCTCCGTACATACCTAGCAGCAGATGGGAGCCAAGCGCTGGCTTCTCTTTCACTAAGTGGTTTTAAAACGTACATGAAAAAAATTTATCAATAAGACAGCTTATAATACATTTCTTAATTAAATGATTAGTATTATTAGTCTTTCTTTTATTACTATAATTAATTAACTGCGCATGCTTCGACAGTTTTTGGTTTGTTTATTTTTTTTTGCGCCCGAAGCAATTAATGGGCTACCTACTATACGTAGGGAGGCGGAAAATGCATTACGCATACCACGATAGCCGGTCTATCGTGTTATGAGGGACTCACATCCTACCAGGGAACCTAAGTGATACTCTCTAAAAACCGCCTTTAGGGATAGGCAACTGGCTGATTAAGCTTTATTGTGCTTTATCATGAGCGACCCTCTTTTGGGAAAAGAGGGCGCAGGCGGCTACGAGCCGCTGAGGGAGTGCCTACGAAGACAAATTAATTATGAATAATAATTTTAATTTAATTAGAGTTGGCCTGAGCCGCCAGGAGGCAGTTCAGGTCGTTTGATAGTTTATTAGGCGGGCCCGAGTGAGAGTTTCTCGGCCTGCGGACTCGATAGCGAGAGGGAGAGGTGGGGCTGCATAAGTAGCTGCCTCACGAATTAAATGGTTGAGTGCGACTCTGAGGTTTTGAAGAAGTTCTCAGAGAGTTTTTTGAGAAATTGTTGAATTGTGGGGAGCTCCAGGTACCGATGAAGGTCGGCATTGCGGACGTACCAAGGTGCGTTCGCAGCTCGACGACAGAAAAGGTTTTGAACTATTTGGAGTTCATTAATAATTTTAGGGTCGGCGTGGGCAAAAACGGGGCCCGCGTAGGACATGACTGGTCGTATACAGACCTTATAAAGGGTACACTTGTTTCTAAGGGACATTTTACTGTGTCGGCCCAACATACTGTTGAGCCTACTCAGGGAAAAACGTGCGTGACGGGTTACTCTTTTGACGTGGGGCCTGAAAGTGAGCCCTGTTTCTAGAGTGACACCTAAATATTTGGCAGTCGTATGCCAGGGGATAGGGGTCCCTAGCATACGTATTGGTGGAGTGTTTTTGAGACGGCGTCGTTTATAATCGAAGTGAACGGCGGAGCTCTTCTCCGGGTTCACATCGATGCGCCATATTTTGAACCAAGCTCCTAGGTCGTCAACTGACTTTTGAATGTTGTTCCGTATGAAAGGTAGTGAGATACCTTTGCAGTAGATAGCAGTGTCGTCTGCGAAGACGGAGAGCTGAACACCTTTCGACGGGATGGGAATGTCGTTGGTAAACAGGATGTACAGCAGAGGAGCAAGTACTGAGCCCTGAGGGACACCAGCTTTGATAGTGCGCTGTGAAGATAGCGTGCCTTCGTGTCTAAAACGAAAGGTACGATGCTTTAAGTAAAAGGCCACGAGACGTACTAGACGATCAGGGAGACCTATTTTGTACAGCTTGTAGATAAGGCCTGTATGCCAGACTCTATAAAAGGCTTTAGCTATGTTGAAAAAGACCGCGATGGTCTTATGACGACGAGGATAAAAACCGCCGAGGATATATTCCACAATACGGTGAACTTGTTGGGGACATGAGTGTTGCGCTCGGAAACCGAATTGATGGGGAATGATAAGAGGATCACCGTCTATGGGAAACAGATAGCGCCTCATACGAGTTTGGATGACTCTTTCGAAGAGCTTGCCCATTGCCTTGAGGAGGCTAATGGGGCGATGACTGAAGGGGAGGTTGAGAGGCTTGCCTGGCTTGGGAATACCAATCACAGTTGCCTCTTTCCACGTAGTGGGAAAGTAACTAAAGTTGAAGCAGGCGTTGAAGATAATAGATAAAAAAGGTTAACACCTGCTCAGGAAAGTGTTTTAGGGCTTGGTTGGAGATGCCATCCGCACCCGGAGCCTTTTTAGGCTTAAGTCCTTTGATGAGGGATGAAATCTCATCATTGGACACTGAGATAGGTTCGGAGACTGTAGGGGGTGAGTTCCGGCGGCGGACCTCATCCTCCACTGCCTGGACGTGTGAGGGTTCGACGGGTTGAGAGCTAGGAGAGCATTGTGCGGCAATGCTATCTGCAAAGCACTCAGCCTTTTCCTCGTCCTCGAAGGCAACCGTACCGTCGGGAAGGGAGAGAGGAGGAGTGTGAGTGATAGCGTCTATGCGGAGGGCTCTAGCCATCTGATAGTACGCTGTATGAGATGGAGAGATATTCTCTATGAGTTTACTCTTTTCGAGGTCTCGAAATTCAGAGAGGCGGAAACGGAGTTCTCGTTGAAGACGATTGGCCGTGCGCCTATATTCGGGGGTGGGATATTTTGCTGCTCTCCGGAAGGCAGCTTTTTTGGCTTTTAATATGTTGCTAATATGTAGGGGAAGCCCACTATTGTTAGCAACCGGGACGACCCTTTCGTTCTCCTTAAGGGAGGATTTAATAAGGGTGGAGAGTGAATCGACCGCGGTGTCGATTTTTTCGGGACTGTCTAAGTCCAACGGTAGGGAGATGGTAGAGTCCTGTGAGTCCAGAGCTTTATCTAGGGACTCCTTGAATCCCTTCCAATTAGTGAAGGTTTTCGTGTGTGTTGGGGGAGGTGGCTGATGGCCAAGAATGAGGGAGACCGGTCGGTGATCGGATCCTAGATCGTCTAGTGTCTCGATTGCTCTGAGGTTGAGAGAAACTCCTTGGAGTAACGCAAAATCTAGTACATCGGGAGCGTGATTGGTGTTATCGGGAAAGTGAGTAACACCGAGAGGACTATGGACGGTAATATCAAAAGACTGCGTGATATCGAGCAGTATCTTGCCACTAAGGGACGTAGTACGGCATGTCCATTCAGTATGCTTGGAGTTAAAATCTTCAAACATAATGACTGAATTGCCTAAAGATAAAATGGCCTCAAAATCTTTTTTGAGGGGATGGGTTCCCTGAAGGGATGTAACAGGAGGCTATGAGGATGGACTGATGTTCAGTCATAGCTAGTCTACATACCGTGGCTTCCATGTTGGTAAGCTGCGGAGTAGAAATGGGAAGTTTTTAATAGAAAGGCCTTTAGTGTCCTTAGTTTTGAGATTAGTTTCCTGTAGGAGGAGGAAATCGGCTTCACGATTCCGAAGAAAGAGCTTAAGCTCTGGGAGGTTATTTCGCAAGCCGCGA